AGACTCCAGAGAGCCTCATTGTATAATAGTGATGTGAGCTGACAGGAGGTATAAAAACAGCACAGGGCTGGGGTTTGGAGCGTCACGATGCTGGATGCCTCAGGTACTGAAACCCAGCCAGCACTGATTGGAAATTATCACTCATTAGGCTCATACACTGTCAGCTGCAGGGATTTGGCAGAGACTGGTGGCTGTATGGGGTCTGAGCTTAATAGGTGACTTTTTGGGGTTGATATCTGTTACAATGGTGCATGAAACTTTGTCATTTGTTAGAAAGAATATTATTTAAAGGCCATTTGAGAAAGACCTTTCATTTAGATTAACCCCCCTGTTCAGTGCCTTTGTCCCTCCCCTGTGGGAAATCCCTGACTCATTATAACTCACAGTGAATTTAATTTACCATAAACCACTCAAGACACCCATCTGTGGAAGAACCTCAATTCACGCCTGAAATAGTTCTTACAAGCCAGCTGTTATCTTCTCTTCAGGTTCATACTCACTGTGATTGAGTCCACAGCCTCTCTCAGCTCCTGCAGCTCCTTCTCTTTCACTTCAATTCTCTGCTGAAATTCCATCTGGGTTTCACCCATATCTTTCTACATGTAGCAAAAAGATGATGAAATGAGTTTGTTTTATTGAAGGTGATCATATTCTTTAATCATCCACTGCAGGATGGACCCCAGCCTTGTGCCCTATGCTGCCTGGGAAAGGCTCCAGGTCCCCATGACTCTGACCGGGATAAATGGTTAGGAGATTCTCCTCTGCCCTCTCTCATTAACAAGGTGTCTTCTCTCACAGACCTGCCACAGTCTGGCTGTTTTATGTTTACTGCACCATCCTCAGTAAACTCTACACACTGTAGTGTGTGAAAATCCCAGGATGGTGGCGATTTCTGAGATGCTGGAAGCACCATGTTTGACGCTAACAATCGCATCATATTTAAAACCTCTTAGCTCACACATCTCAGCCATTCAGATGCTCAGCCAGATAATAAGTGATCCTCTTCACCCTGTTTGCTTGCTGCATGCATTCAACTGTAGCCACAGGATTCACTGTTTGATGGAGTTTTCGGTAGAAAATTTGAACTTTTTATACTTTATAGTAACATCATGACCCAGGTTTGCCCCAGTTAGAACGCAGTGGCTGATATAAATTAAGGTGCTAAAATTTCTCTTTAATCAGTTATAGGATATATTCAGTAACACATTTCTTTACCAAACCAGACTTGATCTCTGCATCTTTGAAGCAGAAATACTCATGAGTTAAGACAAAAAAGTTATAACTTAATAAAATTAATAATTTATATTAGAGTTTTTGGCCTGACCTGCATCTCCGCCCTTTCTGCAGCAGCTGCGATTGTGTCATGGTCTCTGTGTTCAAACGTCTTACAGGAATAACAGATGCACTGCTGGTCGGTACGGCAGTAGCTCTCCAGGGGTTTGTCATGGAGGGAACAGACCTTGTCGGGCAGATGTCCAGTAGGATCAGCCAGCTTGTGCTTCTGAAAAGCTGGAGACTCATAGTGAGGCTGGAGG